TGTTTGATATAATTTATCAGTTAAAATGTATGTGAGCCTGCTGTTGTCATATAGGTAGGTTTTCAAGCTAGGAATATACTTTCTTTAATAGGTGCTATTCAAATTTTATATTTCCTCCAGTGTTAATTTCATTAATTCGTCTTCCAAAGTACTTCTTAGAAGTTGCCAAACTTATTTCAAAAAAGATTTTTGTAATATGCTTTCTATATCCTTTTAAATTCTGTAAAATATGTGGTAATGTCTTCTAGATCTTGATATTGTAAGTTTAAAAATGTAAAATTGATATGTGTAATAGGAAGAAAAGGTCTAAAGGAGTAGGGGAAGTGGGAGGGGTAGGGGAAAGGAAAGAAGGGAAAAGAAAAAATATGAGAAAAGAAAAAAAGGAAACAAAGTCTTTGTCAATAGGGAAGGGTGGAGGGGATGAAGGGAGGGCAGGGGAAGGGGCAAAAATAAGAATCAAGATGCTCATGTAAAGGTACAGGATCTTAATGATTAATATAACTGTATTTTATACCTAAAATGTACAAATAAACTTAATGGGGAAAAAAAGAAACTTAAATCAGGTCATTTTTTTTTTTCTAGGTAGTAGACATTTTTCTTGTTCTCCAGAGTTGAAAGCCTTACAGTACATCTGGGAATGTAATTAATTGGACAAATGAAAATTCATCAAGGCAATAAGCTCCCAATGCATTTCTGGTGGTCTTATATGTCTACAAGTATATTCAGTAACATTCATTATGTGCATTCACATATTCTAGTATTTGGGATTTCCAGCTGTACCACCAGAGAAATCTTGTTTGAAATCTAACTCTACCATTCACTAGTCATTTGCTCAGAATAGCTATTTAAATTTTTGTGCCTCAGTTTTCTTATCTTTTGGGAAAAAAATGTACCTTACATTTTCTGTGACATCACTTAACTATTTTTAACACCTGTCGTTTGACAGGGAGTTACCAAAAAGTCAGCTCAAAAAATAAATGAAAGCACAGTATAGTGGTTACTTTGTATACTTTAGAGCCATTCAGCTTCTAACCAAACTCAAGCTCTACCACTTGATACCTGTGTGGATGTTGTCAAGTAAATTAATCTCTCTGTGTCTCAAAGTGATCATCATATGATATGTACTAATACTACATTATGCTTTAGCTATTGAAAAACTTACTGGGTAATTGATTCAAAGAAAATTCTGAGAGTATGATAAGTGTTCACTGCTATTATTATGATTATCACCTTTGATATTATTATGCATGCAATTCTGTTATTACAAGTAGTACAAACCTATTAACACTTATTATGATTGTTACTGGAATGAGTAGAATTCTGTAGATAAGGGGAACTAAGTCAAGATTTTGCCATAGTGAAGGAAAAGAAATTTCTCTTTTCTCTGGACTCAGAGTTGTAAAATATCCAACTGGACGTACATAGCCATGATCAGGAGGGGTTAAGCAAATTACAGTTCACGAAAGATAGAAGATCCAAAGTAAGAAGCTGAAACTCTGAATACTGCTTGTATGTATTAAGCCTATGCATTGAGAATTAAGATGTTTTTTAAGGGGCCAGGGATTTAGCTCAGTGGTGCCGCTGCCTGGCTAGCAAGCACAAGGTCCTGCGTTTGAGTTTGAGATGTCCTTTAAGATTACCTTCTGGTAAGAACTTTTAATTATGTTAACCAATAAATTTTCTACTGCAAAGGTGATATAAATTGGATTTGTGTTCTGATGTTATCAAAGATTCCTAAAAATTACAGAACTTGGCACACAGTATCCTAGGAAGACTGAAGGTGATAATTTATGTAGTGTGCACCATAGATTTTTATCCTTAGTTATATATAAGTTCATTTCAACTGTTAGTACATAGTAGCAAATCTTTTAATTTTAGTAGGAGGTGTGATGAATACCTGAAAAGTCAACCAGTCACCATATTAAAATATGAAAACTGTTTTCTCTCTTGATATTATTTTCCTTTTGAAGTTTTCCTGCTTTTAGTTTACCCTTAACCTTTTATTTTTATAGGAAAAATACTTGAACATAAATGCAAGTGTTGCAAGATACACATGTTCAAGTAATTGAAATTATCTTCTCCACACTAAGAAAAATCGAACCCTTGTTTTCTCATTATGAAGTTGATTTTATGCACTAGCTACAAAAATATGAAAACTTAATTCTTTTTAAACTACTTTCCAAAGGAGTTACTTTGTTGACTTAGATTCCTTTAAAAACTTAGCAGAGTATTTTTTACATAATAATGTTTAGAATAACATCTGTACTTCATAGACTTGTTTGACTAGATAGATTTTTTAAAAATTTTTCATTGCATCTTTCAAAAATTTATTCAATAAACAGAATATTGTTTTATCTGACTCCCACTATCTATATGAATAAGTCGTATAATGTAATTCTGTTGATTTCTGAGTGAAAGTACTTTGGTTTCAGCAACAGAAATCAACTTGAGCAAGATCAATGGAAATAAAAGGAATTATTGAAAGAGTCATGGTAATTCATAGATCAAATGGAAAAAAAAATCATCGCTTGCAAAGGACAGAAAACAGGGACACTTGCAGATATTACAAAGGAATCAACCCATGATGTGACATTTGGTATGTTTATGCTCCTCCCACTTTTTGTTCTTAAATCAACAATGAAGGTTCAGATTTCTGGGAAAAAGAGTATATTATCAAAAGTTACTTTGGGATTTTTTGTATAATATAAATGCAATAAATAGATATGCAATAAATAGAATAAATGCAATAAATAGAATAAAATAAAATAATAACACAAGAAATACAGGGAGATCAAAAACAAATACCTATCTTTTTCCTAGATTAATTAAACTGATAACCAAATGTTCCTTCCTCAAGATCAGATATTACACTTTGTGTTAAGCCTCAACTTGTTTTATTTACCTATTTATGATCTGTGGAGAGCCAATCTCAGACCTTTTCCACTGTGTAAATAGTCTAAACTTTCTAGGTACATTTTATAGGTTTATTCTCTCATTTAACCAAGCCACTTGACCTCTTGAAGTTCTTTTTATGAAGTTCAACTTGAATGTCTTCTCTTAAAGGTTTATTTTTCCACCCTTCTTTAAACATGTATTCCTTGAGAGCAGGATCCATGTGGACAAAATTTTTCCATACCAAATAGCACTGTACTAAAAATAAATACAGAGTTGAGAGGTTCAGTGATTTAAAATAATACTTAACTCATTCTGGAAATTCCTCTTTTCCATCCTCTCCCTGTATGTTCTTTCTGGTTCTGTTGCTATATTTCATTAGTTAATAATCACCTATTAGTCTTTTTGCCTTAAATCCTCCTCACTTCAGCCTCCATCAAACATGCCATTACTCTGCTCTTAATTTTATTGTCTTCTTTTTGTTTTTTTGAATGAAAAATCAATGTTAATTGCACACATTTCCAAAGTCCTCAGCTTTAGTCATGTATTTCCAGGCTTTTTTTGAAGCGATGATTTATTCATTTTAAATCAAAGTGTAAACCCTGAAGAAATATGTTGGGATGAAAGATAAGCAACTTCCAGGCTATTTCACCAATTTACAACAAGCAAGAAAATGAGAAAATTAAAATATGGGAAACTTGGAACTAGAGAACATCATGTTGAACAAAATAAGCAAGCCACAGTCAAATATCACAGTTCTCCATGATATACAGAATCTAAAAGAGGTGACACAAAAGTTGATGAGAGACTATTATTAAGCAAAAAGCAAGAGTAAAGGTGAGGGAAAAGACAATGTAAGGAAGGTAATAGGGGAATGGATGCATAATGAAACTCAATATTCTGTAAAATTAATAGGCACTCATGATGAAAGCAAAATACAGATGTACACAGATAAAACATGGGTTCATCAAAGCCCTGATACAGATATGTCAATAACACACTTGTATGTCTATTGAAGAGTGATAGCTAATGTATGGTAGGGAATAAGAGGCAATTTGTAGGATGAAACAATCGCTAAACTTTTTTTAAACCCTTAGAGCTTTGTCAGACTGTAGGAAATAAGGGTATTGAAAGTATAGACATGATCCAAATGGGGGCATATGAAAAAATGATGCCTTTGTATAAAGAATTTCCCTTGATGGGTCTGAAGCTTAGAATTTAAGGGTGTGATTGCAAGGTGAAGTTGTTGGGTACTGAAACAAGTATACAATCAAATGCAAAAAATATTTACTTAGAACTTCTTGCCCATAATATTGTAAGTAATACAAAATTTATCAGAGAAAATCTCCTATTAAAATATCTATTGAAAAATTATGAAGGTAAGACAGAAAACAAGCCCAACAGTATGTAAACTATAGCTATAAAAATTTGGAGATGAAGAAGGCCAGAGAGCTCAAACGAGGAAAAAAAATGCCTTTAAACTGGTACCAAGCTGGGATATTTTCATCAATATTGGCATTTAAGATGGATTATCTTTAAGGCTAAAAACTAGTATTTCAGAGAATAATAAAACTTTTAGCATTAGTTTTCTAGATGAAACAATACCTCATGTATTTCATAAAAAATGAAACCCCTGACCAATTGCAACAGATCGTTAGAGTCAATAAATTTGTCTCTGATATATTTACTTTATCCTTACTTCTTTCTGAAAGAAAGATACTTTCTTCTTATCATTGTTTGACATTTATTCGTATTGCAAAGCCCAATTCCTACTACTCATTAAGAGCCATTCTGAACCCTCCCGTGCTCTCTCCATAGAAAATTAGCTACTCCCTCCATTGTGTTCCTATGATACTTTATTGATCAATATTCAAAATATTTGCCACATTAAACTTTAGTCAGCTCATTTCTCCTCAATTTCTTAGAATAAAAGGATTTTTTTATTCATTTCTTGTTCCCTTAACGTGTAACACTGATGGTCACATAGAAGGTATGACTGTTGAGGGAGTATAAATCTCCATGGAGGAGGGGCGTATACTCATGGAACATCCAGGAGAAACAAAGTCTTGTCACAGGTTGGAGATCTTTGCTAAGTTACTAAAAGACTAAAGAGAATTGGATATTTAAGTTAATATAATGCTTATTTTTTTAATCCAGAGTTTTAATACTCACTTTTTTTTTGGAATGCACTCTAAATCTACAAGGAGGAAAATTTGTACTATTTTATTAATATTACAACATCTTTTAGTTTACATTGTGAAAATAAAAAAAATATTTTTTTGATATGACATTTTTACTTTTTATCTCACAGCAAATATCTCCAATAAAACATAAAAATTAAAAGAAAAGGTTCTATATCTAATACTCCAGAGCCCAGAATATTGTTTTATATGACTAAACTATCTGTTATTTTTATAATATTTGGATATTTCTACATGGGATTTGATTTTTCTTGAAGATTGGAATTTAATTCTCAAAATTATTTACCTAATTTTACTGTATGGACTTTCAAATAGTTATGTGAATTCTTTAATTTTATTATTATTTTACAAATATTTTATTTTTTAAAATATTTCTCATTCAATTTAGAAGTCAAACAGAAAATGCACAAAAATAAAGGATAGATATTTTAGTGTCTGGCCAAGAGAACATTGTTCATTATCCAGAAATCAATACACTGCATTCATTTTTCCAAATAGAGGCAGACATTTATGATAGCTTAGTTTTCTCATATTTGAATGATAAATAGTGCATGAAATAGCTGTACAATTTAGCCACTATATTTATAGAGCTATTGCTGGCAGTTAATGCTGCTTTTCATTTAATCAAGCCACACAAAGAAGAACAGTATAAAGAAGTTTCTTAACAGTTAACAAATCTATTCTTCTGAATTTACATTCACAACTCATTGTTCAGAAGATCTTGACCTGTCTAAGTTTTAGAACTTAATAACTGGTTTCTTGTATCAAGCCAAGTCTTTCTGTAATTGTTTCTCCCTTTCTCTTTAATGCTCCTTGAATTATCTTTGCAAAACATAAATTCAATATTTCTCCTTTTATAACTTTTAAAAGTTCAATGTAAAGGCACAAACCCTGACTTCCAATAGCTTATTTTGTTTTAGTATATTTTAATTAAGACTAGCAGGTCTCTGTAGGGATCAGTCTTTACTTTCTCTTCTAGCTTCCTGCAGGACTGTTCTCTGCCAGAACTACACTAAAGCTTTGTGTATCTTTTACCTACAATGGCCATTCATTCATTTAATGAATGTTTTGCCCATGTTGTGGCCTTTATTATCTCTTATCATGATTGTAATTTCACTTACATTTGTAAGTGTGTGAACAGTTTGTTTTTGTAAACTGTAAACTTCAATTTCTTCTTTGCTTGACAATTTGTATTCTCTACGCTAAAGCTTATCATCAATGTCCAAAACACAACTAGAAATATATTTTTTGAGGACAGTGTACAAATGGGTAAATCATTTGAGGGTCCACATGCTGATTTTACTGGTTACTAGGGAAGGTTTTTTAATTTACTCAAAGAAATTCTGGTCTTTTGCCACCTCCTGTCCCTAACTCCCCTAAACTTTTCTAGACAACTTCTCTACAAATAAGTCCTATTGGTCTTCAGCTAGTAGAAACTATTGCTATAGCATAGAACTCTATGTAATGTCTTGCTAGGTGTATGACAGTATTTTTTAATTGCAATGAATATTCTGATTAGGCAATTAGGGACTATCAGGAATCTTACAGGTGAATATGGGAATGAAGCTGAGATAATAAAGCACATTCAAAGGTCAATATTTAAATATACTTACGAGTATTTCCTATCATCATCTCATTGTCTTCAATTTCCAAAGCTATAGAATCACCTCAATGAATGCTCAGCGTATAAGAATCTCTGCTTCTGTGGTAGAAGGAAGATTGGTAGTCTTCCACTCTTACAAAGCATTTCTCAATACCAAGATAAATTGTCACTAAGTATTACTAATTTATTCTTAGCCAGTTTAAGGATTAAACTAATTTAATTTACATCAACATATTGTTTGAGACTTAAAAGTACTCCAAAAATTTTAATGAAATGATTAGAGTTTATAAAATTAATCCCACTCTCATGTAAAAAATAAAATGAATATTATTTTTGTGTGTCTTTTAGGAAATATTGCATTCAATTTAAATTTTAAAATTTTAAACAATTCTATATCAGGCATTATATGTAATGAAAAACCAAAACAAACTTGAATCTTACAGTCTAGTGGGAAAGAAATCCAATAATCAAAGAATCACAGAACTAAAAATAAAATTGCAATTGTGGTGATTTTATTTAAAGTAAGATAGATATTCCCTTAATAGGCTATTAATACTCCCTTAATAGGATATTTCTGTTAAATATTTTGTGGCATTTTCTGTGTTGTAAGAGATGATACTATAAAATAACCTTCTCAGTTGCATTAAACTATAGATATAAGACAGTCATAATAATGTTTCTGTTCATAAGCTGAACTTTCTTTAAGTTTGAGGACTGCTACTGGATTCATACATTCATTCAATGTTATGGCCTTTCAGTCTCTAATAAATTAATCTGTATATATTTTGACTATATCACATTTGGCATAAAAGTATTCTCAGTTTTGTGGAAAAAACAAAGATGATCATGAAATCAGAGATTTCACTGCTTATCTAAAATATTGATATATCATCATTCTTT